AGAGCAAGACAGGGAGATTAAAAGCCCCAAATTCTAACTAATTTTGCAATTTTCGTCACTTTTTTCACACATGAACCCTAAGACATCAAAATTCTAATTCTCTCAACCAAACATGCAAAATAAGCACCAAAACTCATTACCCAAGGTGTAAAAAGTTTAAAACTAACACAAAACATGTAAATCAAGCACTAAATCAGCCTAGACATCAAACTTCAAAATTTTGCAAACCTTGGAGAAATCATAAAATGTTGAGAGTAGAAGATGTTACCTTGTGAATCCAAGAATGGAGATGCTAAAATCGGATTCTATGGAGAAAAACAAGTGAACTAGAGCTTTGAATTACTAAAAACAAGCAAGAATAGAGAGTTATGTGTTTGAAAAAGATAACAGGTGGGAAGAAGAGAATCGTGAAAGAAAGAAGAAGAAGGAAGAGTGTTCTGGTTTATGGGCTAAACCGGACGAATTCTAGTTTAGTTTCAGTAAACCGGAAAAGTCAAAAGTTGACTTACCTGGATTGGGAACCGGTCGATTGAATGCTCGATTGAGTCCTCTATTGAAAATCCGACGGACCCGCTGGTGTATATTAATCGACCGTTCAATCGACCATGTGGTCGATTCCCTTGCCCATAAATGGTTTTGCTTGCCCATCTTTATTTGAAACAACGTCTTTGAAACTTCATCAAATTAAAATCAAAGCAGAACACAATATTAGATGGTTAGTCTCTTTTGATTTTATTTTATTGAGTTTTGCATTGTTAATAGTTATGTTTTTTTTGAGAAAATAAAAAAATTTGAAAATTTTGAAAAATCCAAAAAAATGCATGTAGCTTTGCATATTCATTTTTTGTTCTACGATTGAGGTCTAGAAACATTTAGTTGCATTTGCATATGTATAGGAGATAATGATTTAATTACCTTGAAGAAATTCAAGCTTAGGATTGAATTTAAAGCTCTTAATCATAGTTAATCATTGCTTGATCATCTTGGAAAAAATGGAAAATCCATACTTAGACCTTTGCGTTTATTCGAAAGCAATTTCTACTTGTGTGAAGCTTACATGACTTTGAAACATCTCTATGGATTTTAAATGCATTCTCATGGTTGTCTAAAAGACTCATTCGGGTTTTTTTATCCACTTCGCCACTCTTTTGTAAACCCGAATGACCATTCTTACATTTATAATGGTTTCCCCTACCCTAAACCTTAACCTTTTCTTTCAAGCATATGATTGATTGTGAGCGAGGCCTCTTGTTTGAAAATGCTATAGATTTTGAAATCTTGAGAGTATTAAGAATGACAAGGTTTTAGCTCTTGTTTTAGCTAGCTTTTGGAACATCTTTGACTAGCTATTAGGTTGGGAATGAAATAGTTAGGTGGTTAGATTGAATATTTGGGATTGAGTTTGGGAAAAAGAAGAAAGAAAAATGAATAGAAAGGTTTGATCATGCAAATTGCAGATAAAGAGTGCCCAGCCCTAATGCAAATAAAGAGTTCCTAGGGAATAAAGTTAAGATAGAAGCTCTAAGTTAAAAGAGAAAGAAAATGTGAAGTTAGTTCCCCAAAAGAAAAGAAATTTACAAAGTTATAAGTAATGGGAGCAAAGAAAAACAATGGAAAGAGATAGAAGAAGAGCTTAGTATTTAAGAGAAATTTTTCCTAGGTAACTACAAATAGAAAGTGATCTTATGGTTGGTGATTTAAAAAGACCAAAGTGTCTAGTGTTTGGGGTTGAAAAGAAGAGGAAAAGAATTTGCAAAAAGGGTAAAAATAGGAGTTTACATCTAAGGCGGGTAGAACAACAAGAGCTTAATTTTGTATGCATAAATTGTTCTTGGTCTTAGATGGATTTCATGATTGTCTAGCATTCCTTTTCATGAGAGAAAGCCACCAAAGTATGAATCTTTTGAAACCACCTCCAAAAACCTTTACCAAAACCGATTGAGAATTATTTACTTTCCATTTGCGAGACCGCGCCAGACACTTGAATGAATGTTAAAGAGATGTTTCAACTTGAGTCTTTACTAATAGTTGGAGATTGAAATAGAATCATGCATTGAAATGAGTATGGAAAAGTACGAAAGAGTATGATGATTGACTCCAGTGAATTTGAACTATCCTTAAGGACTTTGAGTTGAATCCTTTGTTTGATATTTTGTGGCTATGAATCCCCACTTTCAAACTTCTTTTCCATCTTATTTCTTAGCCCTTGCTTGAGGACTAGCAAGAGATAAGTTTGGGGGAGTTGATGTCTAGTGTTTTTGGTTGTTTTAAAGCCTCTTTTCTCTTAGTTTTCATTGCTTTGCATTCATATTTTGGCATATAGTGTTGCATTTGCATTTGCATTTGTTTTTTTTGGGTACATGAGTGGAGCTTGGAGTTTTGGGAATAAATAGAGCAAAAAGGAAGGTAGAAGAAGGCAAAATGGGTAATGAAGGTCAAAGAGGGATCAAGAGGTGAAAGAAGATGTCAAGATGTGGTGAAGAAAGATGATTGAGAAGAGAAGAGGAAGCAATAGACCATCTGGTCGATTGATATGGATCAGAGATACGGACAAGACAACGATCGATCAAGCAATCGACTGATTGCCTCAGGACAAACCAATCGACCAACTGGTCGATTCCATGGTCGATTGACATATATCAGGGCTACGGACAACACTTCAATCGATCACTTGATCGATCGATTGCTCTTCCCAATAGACCAAGTGGTCAATTGGGTGTCTAAACCGCGTCAAAACCTGGTTTGTTCCGGGTTGACCCGGTTTTTTTTCCCTTTTCTATATATACTCTTAACCTAGTTTTATAAAGGACATGCTTTGTTGAGAGATCAAAAACTTCTCTTAAGGTTTCTTTTTAAGTTTTTGTATGAATCTTTGGTTTTGTTTAGTTTTGAATCCGAATTTCTCTTTTTATATCTTATCTACTTTCTCTAATTATGATTTCACAAAGATCAAACTTATTGCTTTGTCTAATCATGATCATGAATGAGTAGTCATTTAGAGTTCTTGGGATGAGGTAGATTAGGATGGTTTAGATGTTGGGTTATGGAGTTTAGGGCTAGATTACTTAAGATCCTTACTTATTGGTTGTTTATAAAACTAGATTAGCCTTAATCATGTTGACTTAGACTTTAGGAATTTCATGCCCGAAAGGTGTTCGATGAAATTCCCGAACCAAAACCTTTAAGTGCTTTACATTCCTTACCTTAGGAAATTGTTGACTAGGGTGTTAAGTGGCTAGATAGACTTGTTTATAATGCTTGTTAGTCAATTGATTGCCTTTGGAAGAAGTTGATGATTAATTGATTAGTAAATGGACAAATGTCATGGAAATGTGTTAGTGTTGCTTAGTGTTCTATGGCCTAGGAATCGCTGCTTATTAGAAGTTGTTTGAAGCTCCATAATCCACTTCTTTATCATTCCTAATCAATTCCATTTAACCCGAGAATTTGCTTTTAGTTATCGCCTAGTAGCTTGTTATTTTTCCGCTTTGTTTACTTTTGAAACTTGTTAGTCTTTTGCATTTTACTTTCATTTGTCTTGTTTTGCATTTGATTGTTATTTACTTTGTTAGTCAAGTTTACAAAACTCAAATATCTTATTAGCCTAGATTATAAGCAATCTCGTGCATTCTTTTTGTGTTGATTAATTGCAAATTGAGGTTCGATATTTAATTGAGTAAAGTACTACACCATTTTGCGTCGATAGGTTTTGGGAAATCAAACACTACAAGAAAAACTTCTATGTATATAAACTAAAAAAGTTTGAATCCACTAAATTATACGAGGAAATCGATTAGAAAATCAAAATTTTATTATACATTGAAGTTAAATATTTTAATAAAGAAACTTAATTAATCAACATGTTCGTAATAGTAGCCATAGTTGATCAGCAAAATAGCGGACACAAAAGAAAATATTTCTAATTTGACATTCTTATGATAGTTTTTGGGGAAGATTATAATTCTAGTTTCAATAAAAATAAGTAAAAGAAATGTATTCATCACACGAAGTAGTAGTAATAATTCACTAGTATGAATGTTGAATTGTGGAGACCCGATCTAGTATTTGACTAGCAGAGTTCAAAGATAAGTACTAAGTTAATAACCTTGCAATATTACTTAGCAAAGCAATTCATTTAGCGAAACGTGTACATGTTCTATAAAACCAAATTAATATCTAAATCTTGAATTGTAGCCTATTATTTAATTAAAAATTTTCTCTTATTGGTATGTCAAATCTAGTGTTTACAAAACTAGAGGTGTTGACCGTTAGAGAGAATTAAACAACTTACATACATACAAAACATAAGCCAAAAAGTAATAATAATGCATCTTCCATAATAATAATTAAATAAATTCAACATTAGCATTCATTCCATTACCCAAATCCGAAATTTCATTGATTAAAATTAATACAATTGTATGGTAGAAAACCTAAAAGCTTACGTAAATGCCAAAGATAGTCAAAACCCTGCAATGACAAAGTTGCCAAATCTTGAAGAGTTTGGTCCACAAAATTTAAGGTTATTGGCTTCCCACTCTATTTATAGGCAAAGAGATGAGACAGAGAAGATTAAATTACTTCTTAACAAAGGTTGTTTTCACTCAACCACATGCATTCTCAAGTGTCTGCTCCTCACATTCCCCAAGATTCCCATTTACTCACTTCTCTATTTGGTACGTAAAGTCACAAATATGATTCTAAATTATGTTATTCATTATTCGTTTTGTTCACACTTACTTTCAACTTTCGTAAACCTATATAGATCATCCAATATTATTCAGTAAATTCGATATTTATGATCAATCTTTATTCTCGCAGTTTAAAGGAGACGATTGATACGTGGGATCTACTTACGTATCTGCATGATTATTAGTTATAAAAGTTATTGAAAACATTAAATTACTTTCATAGAGAGCAATCATTATATAAAGCTAAGTTAACTATTTTTTATATAGTCGAGCTTAAGAAAAAAAAAAATGAATTCCCTAAACAAACATTCCCAAATTTTTTCATCACTCTCCAACCACTATTCACCACATTCAATGGAGTCACCACTATACGAGATATCCTCAAGCTCTTCTTCTGAAAAACCTAGACACCATTTCCAATCCCTTGATCTCTTCCCTAACCTCAACCAAAACTCTTGTAACAACAATAACCTAATTGAGCCTTTACCGCTTATTGATCGGATAAACTTGAACTCAAACCTAGACCTAAACCCTAAGCCCTTGTATGCGGAAGAAGGAGAGCAAGAGGAGGAAGAAGAAGAAGAGGACGGTGAAGTGGACGTGAACTTACACATCGGCCTTCCTGGTTTTGGTAAATCAAGCGATGGTGCTAAAGAGCTGAAGAAGAAAAATGGGAAGGAGATCGCCACATATGATGCCGGAAAAGACATTGAGAATGAAGTTTCCGGCAAGGCATACTGGATCCCGGCGCCGGAGCAAATTCTCATAGGCTTCACTCATTTTTCTTGCCATGTGTGCTTCAAGACATTCAATCGTTACAATAATCTTCAGGTACGATTCATGAATATATCTCATGCGCATTGGTTAATTATCCATGCATAACAAAGTATAATAAATTCATATTCAACTTATATAGTTATATCTCCGCATATTATTCATATACATAACTATGAATCTATTTGAAAAATGCTAAACAACCAGGAGTTAATTACTTTTTTTTTTTTAAATATCTGGTAGTACATATTTTAATGGTAATATTTTCATGAAAATATTTCATCAAAGCTTTTTACGTTTATTGAAAGTATTACTTAAATTTGAATATTAAAAACTTGAAATTAAATTGTTTACTCAAATTTGATTGACTATAATTTTTTTTTTAGTTTTCTCATATATTTTTTTAGTTTTATAGTAGTCAAAGAATTTCACTCAAACTTAAATACACAGATTTCCTAAATGAAACACTGGTCGGTCAATAATATGATTTAATGAATTTATTTCATTTTATTACTTATGCAAATCTTGTTTTTTTTTTTTTTTTTTTGACTCCTAAATAATATTGACTATAATTTTAAATAGTTTTTAATAGGTTTCTCACATATTATTCAATTTTAGTTGAATAGTAGTCAAAAGATTTCTTCAAACTAAATTACACAGATTTATTAAAATGAAACACTAGATATGATCGATCAATAATATGATTTTGAACCATATTGTTTCATTTTATTACTTATGCAAACCTTGTTTCTTTGTTTTTTGTTGACTCCTAAATAATATGAATGAACGTAGATGCACATGTGGGGACATGGTTCACAATACAGAAAAGGACCAGAGTCACTGAAAGGCACGCAGCCACGAGCCATGTTAGGGATCCCTTGTTACTGCTGCGTCGAAGGGTGTAGGAACCACATTGACCATCCTCGTTCCAAGCCACTCAAAGACTTTAGAACGCTCCAAACGCACTACAAACGCAAACACGGCCACAAACCCTTCTCGTGTCGCATTTGCGGTAAGCTTTTGGCTGTCAAGGGCGATTGGCGAACACATGAGAAGAACTGTGGGAAACGTTGGGTTTGCGTTTGCGGTTCTGATTTTAAACACAAACGTTCCCTTAAGGACCATGTTAAAGCTTTTGGGCCTGGTCATGGGCCTTATCCGACTGGTTTGTTTGAAGAGCAGGCTTCTAATTCATCTGTCTCCGAGACTTTGTTCTTTTAAATTTGGGCATCTTTCTTCTCTTATTTTATTTTATTTTATTTGCTTATGGACCATTTATTTACTTTAGAATAATAATATGTGGTACCTAATTGTTTCGAATTAGGAATACGAAGTGTACCATTATATGTTTCATCTCTATATTAATTAATAACAGAAAAGTATAATTGATAAAATAGCCTTCATTTTCTATATTAATTACATGATCTAAAATATTGTGTTTTAGATTTTGTTATTCGTTTTCTAAAATATTGTGTTTTTCCGTTACATTGATTGTGTATGTGTGAGTTTTTTTTATGTGTTAGTCATGATCTAGCAGAGGGAAAGCTCGATTATTAACATACCTTTAAATCATTAGGCCTTGAATGGTTGTAGATTCTACTAGTTTTTGGATTTTGTTTTTCAAAAACCCATTTTTTCTCCATTCAACATTTTAATCAAAATAGATTTTCTAAAAAATAGGAAAACCAGTTTTTACCTTTTCTTTACAATAGTGATTTTAAAGGGGCTGAGAGTTAATTTTCCAGATTTCAAAAGAATGTTTCTTAACTTCTAGCGAAATCTTTTATTCCATTAGTAGGCAAATGTTTCTGGAGGCTCTTTATATGTAATGTTGTTGTGTTTTTCTCAGTTTTTTTTTCCTTGTTTTGATATGTTTATAACAATTTCTTGGTTTTCTTTAACGCATAGTTGATAAAGCATATTGTTGTGTTCTGATTGTGATATGAAACTATAGTTCACCTTGGTGTTTCTACTATTGTTTAGAAAACAAAGAAGCACCGCAAGATGTATTATTCTTTCCCCGAAATTTACTACTGTTCCATGTCAAATGTAATTCATGAACTAAATGACACAAATAATTGCTTTTAGCATTCGATATTTCTCACAATGATCCTATGACTCTATTTTGTGATAGCAAACCAGTTTAGCATATTACAATTAATCCAGCTTTTAACGAACACATGAACCATATTAAAATTAATATTTGTCATTCGGTTCGCAATAACTCGCACATATCCTCTTGTGAGAATCTTTGGTCCATGTTGGACATTTTTAATTTGTATGCTCGAACATGAAAGAAAATATTAGGAGTATCCTAGTAAAGAAGATATTGTACTTATCTAAATAGGAAATTAGCATTTTCTATTAGTTTAACTTAGTTTAATCTTTTGCATAAATACATGTATGTATCATCAATAAGATTCGAACTTCCAATTCATAATATTGACACTTGTAAACAGAAAACATAGAAATTGATTTTAAATCAGTCAGCTCATATTATAAATTAGTTATTTAAAAGTTAGAGATTAGTTTAGCATAAAGTATTAACTAGATACTAGATTTTAACCCGCGGTACACCGCGGGATGATTTAATTTTAAAGTTAATATAAAAATATTTTGTAAATTATATCTCCTTATAACATATTTATTTATATTATAGTTTACAATTGTTATTAAGTAACGGTATACCATGAGTCCACGAGACAATTATTAATAAACTGAGGATTTAATCAGTATTAAAGCGGTATATAAATATAGATTCAAATTCGTCCGCCATATAAATCCTTTCCGAAATATAACCCATTCCGTAATTTCTTAACCCGTCCCGTGATTTGATTTTATTTTAAAATTTAATGATTATTTTTTATATATAAAAGTTTACAAATCATATCATTCTCTAAGACATTTATATTTTAATAAATTGAAGATTTAATATGTATTAAAGCGGCATGTTAATGATATTTTAAAATTTTATAAATATTGTTATTAAGGGCCTGATTGGTAACAGCTGTAGCTTTACATTTTTTGATGTAGAAATATGACTGTAGGTTTATTTGCTGTGGCTGTAGATTTTATTGCTGTAGTATTTTGGCTGTAGAATTTAAAATTTTGGAAAGTTGAAAATTATGTGCTTTAGGAAAAAAGGCTTTCTACAGCCAAAAAAATGAATTAAGGAAATATTTTGGCTGTGAAAAAAAAAAGGAAAGCCAAAGCTTCTAAAGCTTGATTGGATGTATTTCAAATCTTTAGAAATTTTTGTGCTTTGTAAAGACTCTAAAGCACTTGCCAATCAGGCCCTAAGTAACATTATACCACAAGACAATTTTTGGTTTTATACATTCTTTTCTAAATGAGACTGATTTAATATGTGTAATATTGGTGGTATTAAAAAAAAAGATTTAATCCGTATTGAAGCGGCGGATTAATGATATTTTAATTTTTTTATTATTGTTGATTCAAAAACCCGTCCCGCCAAATCCGTCTGGCAAAAAAACTCATTTATTTTATTAATGTTGATCTTATTTATGATATGATTCTGAATCATTGTCTAAATATTTTAATCGATGTAGAACGTTGAACACACATTTTCGTCAATTAGATAATATATGTCCGTTTTTAAAATTTCGAATCACAGTATATGCAGAAAAAAATTGATTTTTTTTTTACTTTATGTATTATATGATGATTCAAAATAGTTAAAAACAAATCAAACAAAGTTGATAGGAGAATCATAATTCTAAATCTTAATCAAATCTTCTAAATATCTAAATTATTAAATATGGAATATCCGGTGTATGAGTGGGGCTAAATATAACCCGACCCAACAAATTTTTTGTGAAGTATTTTTTGAAAAGGATCGGATATCCAAATAACCCGAGAGTATTTTTACCCACCAGTCACCAAAGTGTTGCAAAAATACTAGTATAGATATAAAGGTTTGTGGGGATGTGTCTTTAGTCAAGTGGTTAAGTCCACTTGACTCCGCCTTCCCCACCGGAGTTCGACTCCACTAAGTCGCGTTACTCCGCGTAGTAGGGATTGGCTATGGATCGGGCCTTGTCGATCCAAAGATATCAAAAAAAAAAAAAGATATATAAAGGTTTGTAAATTTATATATCTCTATACAATTAATCAAGGAAAAATATTTAAGAGAACAACTTTTAATACGTAAAATATTTTACGAATCTTTATCTCAAATACAACACAACTTCTAAGATATTAACTGTTGATCCACATTAAATCTCTAACTGTTCTTGACTATTCTATTTGGATAATACTCAAGTCAACATTCGTTGATTATTCTATTTTGATCAAAATATGTTTTACGCAGTGTTCTAAAAAGCGGTCTAGGCGGTCGCCTAGGCCCCGACTAGGCGCTAGGCTCTCATGCGACGCCTAGATAACCGCCTTGACCGCCTAAAATTATATAGAACTTGTTTAATGTATTTTTTCAATTTCAATTAGAGTTTTATATATATATATATAGTTATAAATATTTATATATTGTTTAATATAAATATAAATAAATGTCTTATTTAGTTTTTGTTTATAATTTCATAATTTTTAGTTTTATATATATATTTTATATAAATTTTATATATAATATCATATTTATAATGTTTTATGTTATAAACGTCTAAACCGTCTTAAAAATCGCCTAGGCTCCGATTAAGCGTTCTAGGCGCTAGGCACTGGGTCACCGCCCTTTTAGCGCCTAGCGCTTTCTTGAACCCTGGTTTTACGTTACACATATATAAAATAAATGGGATTATAATCTTTTTATTCCATTAGGTATATATTCCATACACACAAGATATGAACATTTAAAACAAAGATGGTGGTCTAACTTTTATTTTTTTGCGTAATGAAATATCCTTCCACTTATACTCTAATTTGGGAATTTGTTTACCATGTGTGAAGTAAATCCCATCTTCTCTAGCATCCCAAAAATTCATCTTACCATGATGAACTATGAGACCACCACTTTTATATGCTCTGAACTTTGCAAAAAAGTTGTAATTGATTCCCTGCCATAGTTGGCAATCAATTTTGGTTTTGAAAATACTGTCATTAAACCTAATATTGTATGTTTGTCCAGGGTTCAAAAAGTGGATGCCTAGGTCATCTTCGTCTGAGAGACAATGAATCTTCAGAATATTTTTCGGGAGAAGAGAGTTCTTGAAATGTACGGAATTTTTCATTTTCGCATTACTAAATCCTATACATAATGCAATTACAACCATGACACATGAGAGGCGATTCATTGTTATGATCGATAGATGCTATTTTATTTTTAGGGGTGATATGTATCAAAAATATATATATAATTCTGATTTATATAAAGATACCAAATTATAATATATATATATATATATATATATAAAGGTAAATTTATTGTAGCAAAAGTTAAGAAAATCATTTGGAAATGTATTAAATTAGAGAATAATGGTATAAGAGTATTGGTCAAAGCAATTGTTTTTCAATTACATCTCTATACTATTAAAAGAGAAGTACAAATATAAATGGGTCGGGTCAAAATCAGAAAATTGACCCGAAATTCTGAAATCGGATCTTTGAAATTTTTTTGCAATATAAATTCGAACTAATAATGAAAAATCGAACTAAAATCAAATGTTTATGGAAATCAAATAAAATTTGATTGTACTTATGGTAACTAATTATAAAATCATATTCCGAACAATATTATACATTAATTACGTATAATATATTTGTTCATATACATTTAGAACTAATTCCATAATAATCAACGTTTTCTCATTAATTTTGCTTATTTTAGCCAGTTATCATTAATTAAAAGATATCTTACTTGCTTCTAGAGATTTCTAGAAAATTTATCACAACTAACCCATCTATTTTATAAATTAAATATATTTTTTTTTAGTTTAGTCATGTAAATTAAATAGATATGAAATCTATGTAACTAATTTTAATTTAATTAGATTAAATCGAAATTATGGTATTTTCATACTTATAGCTTACCAAAGAAGTTTAATTTTCAAATTATAAAGATTTCTTGAATATGATTTTTAGAATTATTCAACAAGATGATAAATATTTATTAAATTTTGTGAATCATGAAAAATATTAATTATTTTTTAATCATTATATTTCACCTTTCAATCTCTCATCTAACAAATAAGATACATATTCTATTATTCCTATGTCCAAACTCCATTGTGTTGTATGACTAAATAATATTTCCATTAGCTGTCAAAACGAGTTGATTCATCCCGTTAAGCCTGTTTTGCAATAGAGAAAATATATTTTGGCATGTAGTTAGTCTGTCCGCACGACCCGCGGGTAGCATATATGAAACACAAACCCGTCGCGTGAATGTATGCTGATTTGCGGGGTTATCCGTGGATTTTGTTTAAATAATTTTAGAGTAACCAAAATTTAAAATTTTACTAAAATAAATAAATTAGAAAAAATTTAGAGATTATAATCTTATATATCATTATATTTATAAATATTATAATTTCATTTATTAAAAGTTTTTTAAACTACCACATGTTGAATAAATTATATTTTTATCAATAAATACTATCATGCGGGTTGATCCGCTAACTCGCGGATGAAAACCGATGACCCACTGCGAATCAATCCATGTGGCCCGCTTATTTGCGGGTTTAATATATTTTCCCAAATCTGCTCAATAGTGAGATGATTTGGGCTCGACCCACGGTTTTTGACCTATTTTGACTGCTTTAATTCTCATGATTCGTCTAATTTTTGAATTCTAAAACATAAAATTCCATTTTGTAAATCATAATTAATATGATTGGTTTAATTATAAACAATTTAATATTTTCTTTACAATTTGTTATTAGGAATATTTATAAGTACACTACTCGATTCGTTCTACTAAAAATACGCACAATATTAAAATCAACGTATGTAAATCAATATTCTCCCGCGGTAGTATTAGTTAAAAATTGATTCCTCGATTGGTTACTCAATCTAGGTAAAAAATGTTTGCAAAAGTAATATCCAAAATTCTGGTCAAAGTAACATCTTCCTTGGATCTTTTGACCATTTAATTTAATTTTGTACTAATTTTTCTTTTTTTTTACGTTAGACATCAAATTAAGTCGGATAGATCATGTATAGCTCCAAAAAAACAGTTTGAGCTTTTAGGCCTCAACTTCTTCGGCTGAACCCTCACGTCGATTTTCAGGGAGATATCATATGGGTTGAAATTTTTTAGTGTTTATTAGTTTATTGAATACTAATTTAAAATATTTTTGCTGTATTTTTTTATATTTCTAATCATCGAAAATGATTTTCAAAATAAGAATATAGTGTTTTAAAAAATTCAATATATTTGGCCAATTTAATCTTGATATTAAACATATATGTAATATATTATAAAACGTAAATAAAAATGATGGAGATAATATCTAATATCTTTAGTGGAAGATATTTGATTTAAAGAAATATTTATAAATCTTTATCAGAAGTGTGGAAAACATTAATATGTATAAATCTATAAAAAAATATAGGAAGATAATATTAAAAAGGAATCAGTTAATATCACGAGTTATACACAGACGTGATCGTCGTTAATGCTTGATTGACCTGCGTCGTTGCTTCAAACTCTTTGTTTGGTTCCTGAGGAAAACATAAAACAAACACTTAGAATCTCTCACGCCTTGTTGTCTTTTCGATGTTTTCTCGTGTCTGGTTTTGGCTTTGTGGCCTTGGCAAAAAACAATTGAAATTCCAAAAGGGACCGGATAGGTTAAGTCAATTGCCTGATGCTTTGCTCTTAGAAATATTGTCGTTACTACCAACGGAAGATGTTGTGGCCACAATGATTCCATCTAAATGTTGGAGATTCCTTTGGATGATGGTGCCAAGACTTGTATACGATGATAGCTATAAGAATATACAAAGATTTTCGCGCTTTGTAGATAAGTCTTTGGTTTTGCACAAGGCTCCAATTCTCGAAACTTTGCATTTTAAACTTGGTAAAACATGTCGTGATGAAGATATTCCAAAGTGTATTAGAGCTGCTGATAAAAGCTCTGTGCGTGAAGTCATTATCGAGATCGATAGTTCTTCTAGACCAGCTCCACTCATACTTCCAAAGAGTTTGTACACGGAGTGTAGAATGCTAGTGACATTGGAACTTAATAATGTGATTCTTGTGGATGCTTCTTCACATGTGTCTTTCCCTTCCCTCAAATCATTGGTTCTTGTATCCGTGAAGTACCCCGGTGACGAATTTCTGAGTAGTCTTTTATCCAATTGTCATGTTCTTGAAGACTTGGTTTTGGAACAATGCCCAGATGACAATGTGATTACTTTCACCATTAGAGTTCCTTCTCTAAAGAGTTTAGTCTTGCAAACATCACGACATATATATGAAGATGATGATCCTCATGGATGTGTGATAGATGCTCCTTCTTTGGAATACTTGGATATTTGTGATGATGATGGTGAATTTTGTTTCATTGAGAATCAAATGCTTAAGATGGAAGAGGCAGATATTGATATCTCTTATTACATTCTGGCTGGGAATATTCTAGGGTCTATTGCTTCTGCCAAGCGTCTCGATTTATGTTTACTCCCTTCAAAGGTATACTTTTTTTGGTTACCTACCTCATGTACTCTTTATCTTGTTACCGGAATCAGATTATATATATGGCTAAGTATTAATCTAACAAAAAAATTTCTAGTGATAAAATATGTTGTTTCTTATGCAGGATGAATATCCTGTCTTCTACTCTCTTGTAACTTTAAACATATGCACATGTCACACAGAATGGGTGGATCTACTAATGTGTATGCTAAGAGTTTCCCCTAATTTGCGAGGTCTCGAACTTAACTTGGTACATACATCTAAACATGAATTGTTCATTTTCCTTGACCATGTATATATATATATGTTGTTTTAACCTAATCTACTTATATCAGTGCCATGATCTGACTGACGAATCGCTTGCGTGCTGGAATGAACCAAGCTTAGTTCCAGTATGTCTATTATCGAGTCTTGAAAATCTCGAGTGGGAACAATATGATGGAACTGAAGTTGAGGAAGAAGTAGCAGCATTCATCTTAAGAAACGCAAACTGTTTAAAAAAGGCAACTATCTCCTCTAACTCCACTGACCCTAACAAGAAACTTGAGATGATCAAGGTGTTGTCATTGTCACCAAGGGGTTCACGTACTTGTCAGCTTCTATTTGATTGAAGTTGTGGTCTATTACTAAAATATCGTTTGGTTGGTGTTTGATTTAATTTACAAAATAAGATACTAATGTTATAAACAATAGGGTTTTGGGATTGTTCTTTCTGTTATTGATCAACTGTACAAGATACAACATATATATAGGGATACCACATTAGGGTTTAGTTTAAAGATTAGGTCTTCTAGAACCTACTAATGGGCCATATAATGGGCAGCCACATATTACATTAATTATTCATAACACTCCCCCTTGGATGACCATTATAAAAATATGGTCTCAAATGCGCATGTGAGATGCTACCTCATTAAAAACCTTACCAGAAAAACTCAATGGGAAAAACCATGGTTAAAGGAAAAAGAGTGCAGCGCGCTTTTACTCCCCCTCATGAGTAGATCACTTGAATCTTTGAGATAACGCGATCAGATATGATGAAGTAACTTCTTGAAAGTTGTTGCTGGAAACGTCTTGGTAAATTGGTTCGCCAAATCTTCACTTGAACGAATTTGTAGGACACGTACATCACCATTCTTCTGTAGTTCATTGGTCTCGTAGGTGGATCATCTTGATCATTATCTTTGTTTCTCACGAACTCATTAATGTATGTTAACAAATTTGAAGAATGATAGTCTTTCATCATTGGAATCACAACATTTCTCTTTATGTGTGTTTATCATTCGCGTGTTCTTTGTTGTCTCGTTAAAAACTTTTCATGGAAAAACCCAATGGGATAAAAACCATGATAAGGGAAAAAAAGTACAACCACGCACATAATCATATTTCTCCCCTTGGAATCATCATCTTCAAGATATGCATTCCAGTCATATATATCAACTTTTCGGGAATCACTATATTCGGAAACTTAGTGAACAAACTGGTATGATTGTCATATAACCTCTCGGGTCTTTGAACTTCTAGTTCATAATATCTCTTTCAGATGGAAGATTATTTCATTGTCTACTTAGACTTCAGGTCCAAATAATATTTTGCATACAGTCTTCTAAACTTTTATCTTTTACATATGAGTTATGCATACTCTCCTTGTAAAACTTA